GCAGTCCTCTGACACAGACCTTCATTTTTTTTACCCTTAACTGCCCCAAATTATGTACAAAACGCAGTCCTTTCACAAGTGTTTAAAAAGGTTTTTTTTATTAGGTACAATTATATAAAATGTATCATTGGAATTTCCCTATTTATTATTAAGTGCTTGCTAGGAACAGCATAAAAAATCTTTATACATCTGACAAGCTCAAATGATTCATTTCATGCTACAAGGGGGAAAACAGCAAACACCACGCCTGTCTACCTATACTTAATCTCTTTCTGAAGGCTATAATGGTTAAATCAACGGACAACCCCTTTTGTATGTCAAATTGTAAATTTTAATGTTTTCATTAGAATAGTCTTTTATATCACTCTCCAACAAGGAACAATAATAAAATAACTAACAGCAAACTTCAATACAGGAACAACACTCTCCAGATTAACAACTCAAACAAAACAAAGAATTTCATGTAAAATGTAAATCACATATAATACAATTGAAGCTTCCAAAACAATTTAAATAATTTTAAATATTTTATTTTTAAACTGCAACAAATGCTTTATACAGTATTTCAACATAAAAGTCCCCATAACAGAAATGTAACAAAATGGGAATGATAGTGATAGGGCTAAAGTGGCACAAATTCACCAAACAAATATTCAACTACAAATTTTAAGAGGTAGATTACTTTTTAAAGTTGAGAAGAAGAGAAAAAAAAACCCAACAAAACGATATGGATCAAACCTAGCCATTTTGCACCAACTCAGTCATTAATTTGGGGAGGGGCACATATAAATGCATGGAGAAATGATATTGATATACTAAAGAAGCAGCCAATTTACCGTTTAGAATCTCTATTAAAGCCTGAAGTGTAAGACCTGATACATAAATTCATTTGCATTTATGCATAGACATACATCTCGACAGGCCTGGGAGTCATCCTGTGCATTGATATATTGCTACATAGTATCAGATAAAATAATAGTTATAAATTAGTGCCAGATACTAAGATGAGAGGATACTCTCCATTTGGATATAAACCTGACACTGGAACAGACATTTGTCAAAGTCCATATCCAATCTGGTTTCCTCTCTAATAAGCTGGCAATCTGTTTGCAATTAAAAAAAAATATTAACAAAAACAGGGCAAGAGATAAGCTAAATGCCTCTCTCTATGTTGTACAGTTCATTTAAAAGAAAGGCATCAAGAGCTGGTGTGTGACCAAAACCTTTTAAGACGAGTGCATTAGAATTTGTCATCCCTGAAATCTAAAACAAACTAATGATAAAACAGGGAGCTTGCTTTGCAAGGTTGAGTTTAAATCATCCTCTTCTCTGCTATGTGCCAAAACCAAGGGCCACAGCCAGAGCTGAGTCTCCAGTCCAGTGACGACGAGCCAGTTCATCTAGCCCGTCTACGGCACCCTTCTCTTTGGATCACAATCACCCGGGAGCCCAGCTCGGGTGTTGGGCTCCACCGAAGAGAGAGATGCCTGACTCTAACCAGGATAGCAAGAAGCCTGCCGGCAATCAGCTGTGTGTTAGCATTTGTGAGTCAGCTTCAACTGGTCTTGCAAGCTTGAGAGATTTCGTATCCTTTGCCGTAGTGCTTATCCTAAGTTGAGCATGCAATATCGTTATTTAGTCAATTAAGGTTTGTTTTGTTTTGGGGACTTTTCTACAGGAAGTTCCTAGAAAATAAGAAAACTGAAGATAAATGACAACATAATATAACCTTGCATGAATTGACCATGTTAAAGAAAAGGTGAAACAGACCATAAGACAAATGTTATTAAGACAGCAACATACAGGACTCTGAAGGTATTTAGTGATTTCTGTAGTCAACTCAAAAGAGACATAATAAGAGGTTTGTTCTGGAATGGACAAACAGCATCATTTTTTATTTTTTAAATCAATTCATAGTAAATGAGAAAACTTGGGCTTAGGTCTTCATTTGGCATCCCTGTTATGTTTTCCTCTCTGGCTACAAACTGGACATTAAGGACATAAATACTTTGAGATTTACAAAGACTAAAACCCACCCGGTGCCTGTGTTTCTTTCTGGTTTTCACTGAATAGCAATCTTTCAACACCACCACTGGGAAGCCACAGGCAGGCTCTGACACCAATATCACATGGGTATCAGGCATCGGACACACACTCACTGTTATTAAATGAATCTGAAAGACAGTGGGGCATCTGATTTCTTTTGCTACTTTGTCCTCAAACAGGTATTTTAGAGTAGTAAATCAATACAACAGGTATCTGGAGCACAGCCAGGTCAACAAAACAACGTGTGGGCCAAGAATTACAACCTAGCAAATCCTGCAGAGCCCTTGGCCTTAAATAGGAAACTCAAAGCATTTCCATGGCTGACTGCAAGACTAGTGAAACGGTGGAATCCTAATGGCATTCAAATGTGGAAATCTGAGTGGTCAGAACTAGCTCTTAATTTTAGTTAAAAAACAAAACAAAATGCACAGAAAACGTATGCACTTCCAGTTCCCGAGTAAGTCCTTTAGTTTGCAATGGGTACCAATAGAGTAAAATCACTAGAAATAGGAGTTTTGAAAGCAATTATTTCTAAATATATGAGGTCTTGCATCATCATGAATAAAAGTCAGCTCTAAATAAAAATCTGAAAAGGAAAGACAACTATTTCAAACAACATCTTACAAGTGGAGGAAGAGGCCAACTCTGTTAAGAGGCTGTGAGCTGGACACTGAGGGCAGCCATCAGAGCCCCTCCCTAGCCCTCAGTTGAGGAATCCAGTTTTGCACTAAGTTCATTATGATGTACTAAGAAGACCAATACAAACTGTGAAAGGCATGTCTTACCATTTCCTTTTGGACATTGTTTTGTGAGCCCTAAAACAGTTCTGAACTTTCTAAGTGAGCCCTTCTGCCTTCTACTCATGTCTCAAGTGCCCAAGGCTCAAGTCCTCTGACTCAAAGGAAAAGTAGCAGATACTGTAGATGCCTGAGCCATCACTAATCAATGATGACAAGACGAATATTTTCCTTTAGGGTTCTGTGTAGGCTAAATTTCAATATAGCAACACTTTGTTAATTATCAAACAAAGCCCAATAATTAAAATTAATAGGAGCATAACAATTTTACAGAGCTTTCTGTTCCTTTGTAGCTTTGAGTAAGAATGGATTGGTAAGAGGCTAATTAAATGAACTTCACAAGGTTCTAGTTGTTACTCAGCTTTTAAATGAGAGTTCTTTGAGAAAATACCAGAGACCAAAAAGGATTTCTATCTAGTACACTTTAAAGTACCAACCACCTGGGAGATAATATATTAGGAATCAACCAGTTGGGAGATGATGCATTAAGCAACATTCCATGAAAATGACTGGGTTCCCAACAACTGGAAAAGGATTCAATTCTATATTGGCCTAATCCTGTGCAACCTCCACAACACTGAGTACGAACAAGTTCTCGGTTACAGTGCTCAGGGAAGCCAGGTGAACAACCGATAGTCTTGTTCTTTTCACCAAGGTAAACATCCAGAAACCACACGCTAAGGAAGCACTCGAGTAATGACTTAGCACACTTTTGAAAAAAGTCTGAGCCTTTTATTCCTAAGCAAACCATTCAAATCAGCATTGACAGACTAGACTGTCTTTGGCCACACATTACAGCACACCAGCACCAAACACTCAATCTAATCAATGAGATTCTGACAGCAAGACTTCTGAGTACTCATGCCCTTTGCAGAATGGCTCTCCTGCCACCAAAACCAATGAAAACTCTTAAGAGTCCATTCCAACTCACAGTGACCCTGGAGGACTGAGCAGAACTGCCCCAGAGGATTCCAAGTCTGCAAATCTTTATGCACTCCAGCTGCCTCATCTTTCTCCCAAAGAGTACAGCTGGCAAGTAAACAGCTGAATGCCTAAAAAACCAGTCACCAAAGCACCTTTCTCTCCACTCTTACCCTAATTCTTATTTGCGTACACCACCAAAGATGTTTCAGACATTAAAAAAACTGATTGTCATGAAAACCCAAAGCCACACACAAAACTCTAAAAAGTCAACAAAGCCACCAAGTGTTCTGCAGAAATTCTACAATTCATCTGACAATGAGTAATTTATCTGACAAGGATCTGCAGGAATTATTCGGGAAACAGCAAGAATGCTAAGAAAGGCTATCAACTCTAGTTAAGTAAACGGACTTAAAGAGAAGCCAAAGCCACACATGTAACTATTGTTCTATCATATTCTAAGAACAGTTCTAATGATGAGAAGAGAGTCGGGCAGAAAACCACCTCAGAGATAAGGTTAAAGGAAAACCAAGGCCCTGACTGATGCTGCTAACTTGCCTGGCTCACTGTGTCCACTAATAGAACGAGCAGGTTCCTGTCCCAATGGAGGGCTCTAAGCACACTCTTCTGCTCTTCCCATTAGAGAACCAGCTTGTTTATCAGCTGCAGAGTGAGGCATGGGGACACTCTAAGACATTCGGAAAGAAATATGGTGTTTTGTTTTAACCAACGAGGTGGATTTTAAAAATTAAAACACCAGTAGTGAAAGAAACCATTCTCAGTTGCTACAACTTGGCTCAAGTCACAGCAATGCTACAGGACTATAAGGTGATTTACTAGCATCTTTGAAGCATCCTTAGGAAAGAGTCTATGATGAGAACGAGATAGTATTCAAGAGAGGGAGGACGCTGGAAAGCATTTCCTATGTTCATACTGGGCACTTCGGAAGGTTGTGCCAAACTTTCAAATTCAATTCACAAATAGTCCCACTCAATGCTTGCTCCCACTGGGTGAGTAGAAAGCTGAAATAAAAGCTATTCTCCTTCTCTCTACAGTAGCCAAACCTGTGACCTTTCTTAAGGCTTATGGTGCATCTAATGGCTATGCCCTTTCTTTATCTTACTGGAAAAGCAATCAAAATTCCCCATGGGCAAGCACACCAAGCACATCATCTTCACACAATTCTCTAATCCATGCCCTCAAGTCTGAACACTTGCCCTGGAGGACAGCGCTTACCTGAAGTCCTTCAGCTCCTGCTTGGCACTGCTGTCCTCTCTCCTGTTTTCACCAGAGTCGGTGGAGGCGGCCAGCTGTAAGCTTCGGGTGATCGGCCCCCCGCTCCGTTCTCTCGATTTGATGCTGAACCGGTCTGTTCTTTTCTTACTCGCCAAGGCAGCCTTACTTTGTAGAACTGCTTTGCTTTTCTGGACTCGCACGTGCAAACTCCGGGACGCTTTGCTCGCCAGCTGGGCAGAGTGATTCTTGGCCACAGCTTTGGGTTTCTTCCCTTCGACATGCGTGATTTTGGCCATTCTTATGGGGCTGGAGTTCCTTACAGAGGAGGAGTTTGGCTTTTTGGACTTCACTGAAGACACAAATTTAACATTCTGCTTGGACCTGAAGGACGAGGAGGGCAAGGGGACGGGCGTGGGGCCGGAGCTGCGAGCTCGGGTCTTGCCCAGAGGAGTTGGGGTGCTCTGCATCTTAATCTCCGCATCTGCCGTCCGCCGGCGATGGTTGTTGTTGACATTCTTGTCACTGCTTGCCGGTGACGAGTGTCCACCTTTCTTGGATGAATGAGCAGCTTTTTTTTTGGAAGGAGAAAGCGGTTTTTTGGGACAGCTGAAGGCAGCGTGCTTGTTCAGGCTCCCGATGTAAGTGAACTCTCTGTTGCAGTAAGGGCAGATGTGAGAGGATGACTCGGAGGCATTTTTTAAGTCAGCCTTCTGCTTGGCAGCCTTATTTTTCTGAAGGATTGCTTTCTGCACAAGCTGGTTTTTTTTCTTCAATGCATTCAGTTTGAGCTTATTCGATGACATTTTGCTGAGCTCGACACTAAAGTTCAGTCTTTTGGGCTGGCCCATGCGTCTGAAGGCATTTTTCCCAGAGTTATCTAAAACCACCACTCCATTTTTGGGTTGCACCGTCTGTTTCAAAGGGACAGGGTTCTTTTTCGGGGTGTACCGCTTCTTGTCACTTGCAGATGCACACGCCAGGATGTGTTTGTGCAGCTCAGGCATGTTGTCAACACTTTTGCCACATTTTGTGCAGCGAATGGCAGTAGTGAAAGTCTGTGGAATATTGTGTGTGGTGAAATTTGTGGCTGTCACACCAATCCCCATGGGGTTTCGATGATGGTACTGAAATGGAGGTGGCTTAAAGCTCGGGTAATGCTGGTTGAGGCCCAATCGCACATCTGGATCTTTTGTCTTCATTCCAGAAGCCATTATCTTTATGGTAGTGTACAGCTCTTCAGAAGAATCATTTAACTCCTCTTCCTCATCCTCCTCTTTAGATGTTTCAGAAGGATCTTCTGGCAAACTCTGCATGTGGTCTGCTTGAGCCTTGCTCGGGTCTGTGAAGTTCTGGGGCCTGAGGGTCCCACTCTCAAACTCACGGTGTGTGCACACCTTATCTGGGTGGAGATCTCGCTGGTGCTGCTGCAAATTGCACAAGAAAGCAAATTCCTTTTTACAGACAGAACACACGAAGATATTCTCAACTCCATGAAGCAAGAAGCGATGTTCTGACAAATCTGTTTTCTCTTTAAACAGCTGCACACAGAATTCACATTTGAAGGGCCATTCTTCAGCATGAATGGATAAATGCTTGGTTAGGTCTTTAATAGAAAGGAAAGGTGACTCACAGACATTGCAAACAAAGTTTTTGTTGAATGTTTCCTGAACAACATCCTGTTCAACTGAAGACTGGGGCTCTTCCCTGGGTTTCAGATCATCATTCTCCAACTCTTCTTGTTTAAAAGAGATCATAGGAAGGGAGGCTTCTAGATTATCACCAGAGGAGACAACGGATGATACTACTGAGAGGGGAGGTGGAGAAGGGGAAGAGGAGGAGGAAGACGATGAGAAAGAAGATGAGGAGGAGGAAGAGGAGGAAGATGAAGAAGAAAGTATTGGAGGCCCAGGTGATGCACCTGACACAAGCGGTTCCACAGAAGGGATGGGAGACGGAGAGGGGGTCACTGTAGGGGAGAGAATCGGAAGGGGAGATGACGGTGCAGCGGCATTCGAGAGGGGAGAGGGGCACGGAGGAGGGGATGTATCTGAAGGAGGGGCTGGGAGAGGTAAGGGAATCGTAGGAAGGAGTGGAGGGGGTGGGGTGGCAACAGTTAAGACAGGAGGGCAGGGCGGAGGAGAGGAGGGATTTGATGGGATCAAGAGAGGAGGCAGCTGGCCAGAGGAGAGGGAAGATGGCTGCATGGGGGGAGATGAAGGGGAAACACCAGAGGGGGACTCAACAGTAGGAGCGGATACACTAGAGCCAGGGCCAAGCTCCTGATCTGGTTGGGGCTCGAGTGATTTACAAGGACTCGGGCTCCTGGCCACCTCCGCAGCACTGTCTTCAGGTAAATCGATGCCATTGTACTCATTGAGAAGGACTTTCTGCAGCATGCAGGTGGTAGGCTTCTTTTTCTTTACAGCACTGCAGGCTGGCTGCGCTGAATGGTTCTCTTTCAATTCTTTGCCTTCAGAGTCAATGGGGGCCTTTTTATGCACACTGAGGTCTAGCACAGATTCCCACTGGACTGGAGTCTTGCCTGCACCTTCAGCCTTCTGCTTCACGCCACTAGACAAATCCAGAGGCTGCTGGTTGCAAACACTACTAAACGTTGAACTGACTGCCCACTCTTTAGCTATTTTGAACTCATCGAAGCTGGGAGGGCTCACAGTCTCTCTCTCATCCCTGCCAGACAGACTCCAGGCTGGTGAGTTGCTGTGACTCTCTAATTTGGGTTTCTTGGAACCCAGGACAGCCTCCGGCCACACTGCTTTACTGTCGCTTTGCTTCCCAAAGTCTCGAAGTGCAGGACTGTGTTGTGGGGAACTGGGAGGAGAGCTGGTCCGCCGCTTAAACCTACTTGGGGCCACAGGTAACAGTGAGGCAGGGGCGGACACAGGAGGGGGACCCAATTTAGGCATCTCAGTTGCTGAAATTCCTGCAGGAGGAGTTAGTTTTTCCTGTGTCTGCAGAAGTTGCTTGAGCTTTGATGACAAGTAAACCGTTTTTTCTTTATGAAAAGATACTGCTTCTGTGGTTGCGATGGTAAGCGGCAGGCTGAGGGAGCAGGAGGGGGCCGCTGCGTCTGAATCCACCTCTGCTTTAATTTTAGGCAACAGAGGTGGACTGGTAGTTCTCCGCTTCTTGGACTCACTGTTTGTGCTGCTGGAAGGCTCCTTAGGAAGATCCTCTGTTAGCGAAACCTGTGTGGTCTTTATATTCTGCGTAATTTCCACTGTAACCGGTGTAAGGAGACAATTTATGCTATACAGGTCAGCCGAACTGGATTCCATCTCAATCACATCACAATTACTAGTGCTGTTGTTAGTCTGAATTTTGCCATCAATATAGTAATTGAGGTTTTCAGAAATATTGCTGGAAATATCCATGATGTACACATCATCTGCTTCCCCTTCCTCCTCCGGCTCTGTGCTAGGGACGTAGACGTTCTGGGGGGCCTGGGCCTGCTCCGTGGTTGGTGCCTGGGACTCCTCCAGGCCTCCTTTTCGCCGCACACCTTTGGGGATCAGATGGCGCTCGTGCACTCTACGCTGATGCCGTCTCATATTAGTATGAGTTCCAAAAACCTTTTTACAGTATTTGCATGGATGAAGTTCTTTAACTTCCCCATTCTCTTCTACAACAGAAGAATTTACTATTTCTTGGGATGCTTTCTCTGAGTTCAAGGTTAGACAGTCTTGCCCAAGATTGGGAGGGTCTGACTCCTCTTTAGGAGTAACACTGTCTCCAGATACTTTGCCATCAGCAAGGTCTTCTGATGGCTGTAGTGTCAGGCTGGGTTTTCGCTTTAACCCTGCTTCATGGCGGCGCTCATGTCTCCTCCTATTGATCTGTGTACCAAAGGCTTTCCCACAGTACTTGCACTTGAAGGCATGGTTGATGGTAGATATGTGGATATGCATGTGCCGTTCAAGTCCCTGTTTTGTTGTAAACTTTCGCTCGCAATGCTGACACGGAAACAGAAACGTTTCAAATACGTCACCATTGGGCTCTCCCTTCATTTCAGGGATTTTTATAATAGACGCTGCATCTGGAGAGTCTTCAAGACTTTCCTTAGAAATATTTTTTGGTTCCTCTAATAAATCTTCAAGCTTCTCATCACATCGTATTTCTGGTTCTTTCCCCAAACTTTCATTTGGCGTGTCAGTTTCTTCCTCCCCTTCTTCTTCCAACTCTTCATCTTCATCCTCTTCCTCCTCCTCCTCTTCCTCCAAATCATTGACCTCACCATGCGCTGCTTCGAGCTTCTCCTCTGGTTCTGGCTGTGGCTCCCGGACAGGGGAAGGGACCACTGCTTCCGGAGGCGCGTCCTGACTAGCCACCTCCACTACCTCCTCCTCCTGAAGAACGTCAGTCTGCTCAACTGCTGAAGCAGAAGGCTTCTCTTCCTCTTCCTTAGGACCTAGGGAAGCAGAAGCATGGAGGTGAGCACAAAGCTAGCCAAATGGTGAGTAGTTCTCATTACTCAAATTCTTTCTAAACTGTGTAAGGGAGATTATGACTGACCGTAACTAACTTGTCCTTTCTTATTTCAAAGTCAAATCCACTTCTGTCATTCATTTTAACCAAGCATTGCCTCCTATGCTCTAGGCACCATTCTGGGTAGTGAGGAGACACGTGTGAACTAGAGACACAAAAAGGTCCTCATGGAGCTTGGCCTCTTTCTTGCGCTTAGACAAAAAACCCCTTGGGAACTTCGGTGCTTCACACTGTGCTGGAATAGCTCGTGGCCTAGTAAGTAGTGGGAGCTGGAAAAAGACAGGCCATCTCCTCCCATGTGATTCACAGCCTCAGATAAACTTGGTGGGTCAGCTGTAGTTTCACCTCTATGACAGGAGCTTGAGCTGATAGCAAATTTCAGGAGACTGGATTTGAACTGCAGTTGCTTATCATTCCAAAATAAAATGTGGAAATTACTAAACACACCATCAGCTTAGAGTCTTGTCTTGAATGATCTTTTCTATCCCTCCTGATTAAAACTATATATAAAAAAGCCTGCATATTTTCCAGAACCATATAATTAGAACTGTTTTAAGTAAAAGAGACTTAACAAATTACCTCTTCTAAGTTCCATAAAGCTATTAAGAGCTCCTCAGCAAAGGAAATAGAAAGGGGGGGAAAAAATTGAAAAATCAAAATCCAAAATCACTTCTGTATCTGAATGCCTAGCAGATATCTAGGTCGATTTAGCAAAAGTAGATGGTAGGGCTGTTGTCAAGGAAGGCCAGATATTAAAAGAAATGAGCCATGCAAGTCCCTGGGGGACAGGAGCCCTTTGGACAGAAGGAAGAACAGGTACAAAAGCTCTGAATCAACAAAATGTTAGATGTGTTCAAGAAACAGCAGAAAAATTAAGGCTCAAGTGTGGGAGATGGGAGAGCAGAAGAGATTAGAGAAGGGGCTAGGAGCCAGCTCAGAAAGGACTTGGTACGTTGTTGGTCTTTTCTCTGAGCGAAATAGGGTGCTGCTAGAAATTGCTAACAGAAATATGTATGACCTGACGTATTCAAGAGAAACCCTCTAGCTTCTACAAGGAAGGCAGAGAGATAGCTCCAGGTAGACAAGGAGAGAAGCAGGGTGACAGGCACTTACTAGATCTTTCAGAGATAGGAAGGCTGACATGAATAAATTTTAAAGAGCTAGCTGACAAGATGTGCTTGTAGACTGGCTGTATTGACAGAAAAGAGGCATCAAGGAGGGTTCCACAGCAAGTGCAATAATCACATATGCGTAAGTGCATATAGAGTTTGTTGTTGTTGTTGTTATGTGCCGTCGAGTCGCCTGCGACTCATAGCGACCCTGTGTACAACAGCCCTAAACTCCGCTCTGTCCTGTGCCAATCGCACTGTCTCTGACACTCCCATCCCAATTATCCCAGTCACTGAATCAATCCACCTCATAGAGGGCCTTCCTCTCCTGCGCTGTCCCTCCACCCTCCCAAGCATGATGTCTCTCTCTAAGGACTGGTCTCTCCTCACAACATGTCCAAAGTATGTTAGACGGAGCCTCAGAATCCTTGCCTCCAACGAGCCACCCGGTTTAACCCTTTCCAGGATGAATCTGTTTCTTTTCCTAGCAGCCCATGGTATTCTCAATACTCTTCTCCAGCACCACAGTTCAAAGGCATCAATTCTCCTTCTATCCTCCTTGGTCATTGTCCAACTCTCTGATGCATAACAGGTGATTGTGAAGACCATGGCCTGTATCAGACGCACCTTAGTCTCCAAAGAGATACCATTGTTCTTCAGCACTTTGGAGAGGTCCCTAACAGCAGACTTTCCCATGGTAATGCGCCTTTTAATTTCCTGGCTGCTGGTGCCAAGACTGCTGACTATGGAGCCAAGCAAACTAAAGCTGTGTACAATCTCAATCTCTTCACCATCCATCGTGATGCTGCCAACTGGTCCAGTGGTAAGAATCTTCGTCTTCCTGACATTGAGCCTCAATCCATATTGTAGGCTGCAGTCCTTGACACTCTGCAGCAGGCGCTTCAGGTCCTCCTCAGTTTCAGCAAGCAGGGTTGTGTCATCCACATAACGCAGATTATTGATAAATCGTCCACCAATCTTGACCCCACATTTCTCCTCATAGAGCCCAGCCTCCCGGATAATCTGTTCTGCATATAGGTTGAAAAAGTATAGAGATAGGATGTATCCCTGGCGTACGCCCTTCCCAATTTTGAACCATGCAGTGTTCCCTTGCTCTGTTCTGACGACTGCCTCCTGGTCCAAGTAGAAGTTTCGCATTAGAACGATCAAGTGTTCTGGGATTCCCATTCTTCTCAGAGTCAGCCACAGTTTGTTATGATCTACACAGTCAAATGCCTTTGCATAGTCAATGAAACACAGATAGACATTCCTCTGGTATTCCCTGCTTTCAGCCAAGATCCATCTAACATCAGCTACAATATCTCTAGTACCACGACCCCTTCTGAAACCAGCCTGGACTTCTGGTAGTTCTCTGATGATGTGCTGTTCCAGTCGTTTTTGGATAATCTTCAGTAAAATCTTGCTTGCATGTGAAATCAGTGAGATTGTTCTGTAGTTTCCACATTCTGTTGGGTCACCTTTCTTTGGGATAGGAACACATATCGATCTTTTCCAGTCAGTTGGCCAAGTGGTCGTTCTCCAGATTTCTTGGCACAACTTGGTGAGCACGTCCAGGGCAGCATCTGTTAACTGAAATATGTCAATTGGTATACCATCTATTCCTGGAGCCTTATTTTTTGCCATGTCCTTCAAAGCAGCCTGAACTTCTTCTTTCATCACCATAGGCTCTTGCTCATATGTTGTTTCATGAAATTCTTCTGTGTCTTCCAATTCCTTTCGATACAGTGACTTTGGGCATACTAAAGTTTGAGGAACAAAACATATTCAAGTGAAAATGCTAAACACTCTCAGGTGACTCTTGAGTTCAGCAAAGAGGCTAAGCCTGAAAATGACGAAGTATGGCCTTCAGAGCACAGAGCATTTAGACTAGCCTACAATACAGTGATAGGGAATAGAGACAGAAAAGGGACAGGAGGGCTACAGCCCAGGCGAAACCAGTACTGAAAGGCTAGCAGAACTGTCAGAGAGCATTCCAGAGAAATCTAAGCAAAGAAAGGGTTCAAAGGAGTGATGAGCTCTGTCAAGAATCATTAAGACAAGCATAGAAAATTAAACATCTGATTCAGCAAAGTAGAGGTCTGGTAATAAATTATGCCAAAAGCTTAAGTGGAACAGTGCAAACAAACGATAAATCAGATTTCTAAGAGAATGGAAGGAGAAAGAATTACCGAAGACTATGGCAAAGTATTTCGAGATTTACTATGAAGGAAAGCAAAGGAACAATGCAGTAGCCTAAAGAACACACGTGTTTACCAAAAGACTCTTTCTTAAAGATGGAAGTCATTACGCAGCACATTTGAATGCTGATGAAGATGGCCCACATGCTGTCTTATCTACCTGGTACTCTGTTAACAGGTCTCTTTTGCTACTGGCATCTGAAGAGTTAAATGAGAAGCGCTGGGGTGGAGGGTGGGGAGAGCTCTAGAGAGGAGGCAGAGCTACTAAGCTTTCTCCAGATTTTGTTAACTAGCTATTCACCCATTCACCTGTTAAGTATTTACCGAGCATCACTTTTACGCAGGTGTATGAAGAAAAGTCTGTCCTTGCCAAGATCTCTGTTCTTGGCAAGTTTCAGCTTAACAGGAGCTATGCACAAGCAAACAGTAAAACAAGATCACTAAACGGAAATGGGCGCTGCTGCAGATACCCAGGAAGGAGCCTATCACGTGGGTGGGGTTTACCGGAAGGATTCTTGGTGCAAGTACAGAGCAGGCTTAAGATGAATGGCATAGATAGTTACAGCTAGTCATGTGTAGTTTTAAAAGAGGAGGAAGCAGGGTGATGACAAAAAAAAACCCAGAGGGTCTTAGTTTGGCCTTCATGGAAACAATAAGGTCCATGAAAGGTATTCTTTTTTTAAATTTTCTATTAGCTTATTTACAAAATTCAAATACATTGTTTTAAAGAACAAATTATTTCCATTTCACTCATTCTCCGACCCAACAAATTGTATAACCCGATGATTAATCCCTCCCCTGCACACCCTCATCCCTCTGCTTCCAACCTCTCCCATCTCTCTCGGATCCTTATACTCATTCTACAATAATGGTTTTATATAGTATTTATCTTTGTGGGTACATGAAAGTATTTTAAAGTAAGAATGCCATTTGGCTGCATGTGAATTAAGTGATTGTGAGAAGGGCAATGCTAGAGGCAAAAGACCAAAGAAAAGAGAGTTACATTACACGACTGCTTGAACTAAGACATGGAAATGGAAAATAATAGCAGAGGCAGGAAAAAAGTATTAATTTTGTCAAGAAATAAGAGAGGCCTGCTAACAATCTTGGTGGCTTGCTCAACGTGCCACAAATGCAAGGTATCAATAAAAATACAATGACTTCTTTTGCAAACACAATGATGTAGCCCAGTTTGCATGCTGGTTCTAAGAACAGTCCTATTCTGTCCCCATCGGCTACTATAATTACTAGCAATGAGATTTCCACTTCTAAATAGAAACCAGCCTTCTTTCTCCCATTCCTCCTCACAAGAAATTTCATAAGTGCCAAGAGTTTTCCACAAACTGGAAAATTAGTTATTCAAAGGTGGTAACATATTTAAAATTAAGATCTAACTTCTCTTTCAAATACATTTTCAGCAAAGACACGGGATATTGCCAAAAGATGAGATAACAGAAAATGAAAATAACATCTCCAAGGCTCAGAAATTCTTTATGGAGTTTGTTTTTTAGCCAAAACGTGTGGTTTACTGGAATGGGGTGGAGGGGTGGAGGAAGTGGGTGGAATCCTTTCCCCATGGTAAACAATCCCAGATTTTAAACTGTCCAAAGTAATAAGAACCAAAATATGCACAACTCTATTAACTACTTGGGCCCAAAACAAAGTGCATCTACACATTAGATGATGTCTGTTGAAGCTTAGCTATAAATCAATGCTTGGAGAACAGAAGAGGTTGAGCTGTTCGCTCATTACATATTATGATTTGCTGAGGTCAATCCAAACATTCAGGATGGGTCTTTCCAGTGTACACTGTACAGAATCAATGTTACTTTGAACAGCTTTGTGGCAAAAAAAAAAAAAAGTAACAATTTCTTTATAACATCTAATGTTACATTAGGGAGCTCTGCTGGTGTAATTCATAAGCAGATGGGCTGCTAACACAAAAGTGGTGACCTCTCTAAAGGTTGGGATCTACCAGCTGTTCCAAGGCGGAGAGATGGGCAGTATTTGTGACTTACAGCCTTGGAAACCCAGGGGAGGGTGAGCCACGAGTCATAACTGACTTGACAGTAACGAAGGAGTAAGCAACTACTACTTGACATTGTTGCCGCACACTTTTAAATTGACAACTGTGCTTAGAAACACATTTGCCGTCTTCTGCAGCAACAGCAACCAATGTGTTAAAGAGTAAATAAATAAATAAATGTGTGAATGACTAGAAGGGTCCCCATTCAACTGTTTGGGGTTTTGTTTTTAAATTCTGCCACCAAAGGTAACAAGGCTGCTTAGTATTTTGCTGTTATTCAAGTATGTCTCAGCAAATCTTCTGTTGTTGCAGGCAGACTTGTGTTTTAGATGTAAAAAAAAGAAATATCCTTAAACTCACATATGGAATCAGTTCCAACTCAAAGAAAATATTGATCAGGTTTCCAAGGTTGTAAATCTCAATGTGAGTTGACTGCCCATCTTTCTCCCGTGAAGTCACAGGTGGTTTTGACCCACCAGCGATGCTACATGGCATAACATGCAACAGACTCCACCAGTGCTTGACTGCTAACCAGCAGGTCAGAGATTCTATTCCATCAGCTATTATGTGAGAAAAAGATGTGGTAGCCTGCTTCTATATGGATTTACCATAACAGAACTCTGTCCTATTGGGTTGCTGTTGAGTCAGAATTCACTCACCAGCAACGGCATTGGGACTGGTTTTTTTCCTTTACTCTTGCTTCATAAAGTGGAATAGAAAATTACAATCTTTAATGAATGTCATCAGCCCAAACAGGACTAATAAAATGGCTATGAAAGGTATCCAAAATATGTCCTGGCTTTTGTTCCCTGTCTGCAAATGTTTCCTGAGGGAGTCACAAGCCTGTATTTTGAAATTTGCCTTTGTGGATCACTATGACAAACTTCTCAGCAAGATTCAGTTTCTGTATCAATTTATCACATGTCAAACTGAGACACAATTCTCTCAATTCCAGTAATGTCAACAGTCTCTGTATGGCTGCTCAACTGCATTAAAGACAGCAGTCTGTATTTCTCTTTGAATTTCAATTCATGCTCCCAGTGAATTCTCACATCATGGAAGCCTAGAATATTAATCCTCTGAAAAGCCTATAAAGGAAAAAACATGTGAGCAGAAACACAAAGAGAATAAAAATTTAAACAAAATGCAGAAATACTTAACATCCTGATAAATCAAAAGTGCTTAATGTTTTAAAGTAAATTTTTAACTGAAGTATAAAGTGCACTGGAGGAGAGAGGGATTGAGAGAGAGAGAAGGAGGTGGGGGAAGCATCCTAGGGGCAAAACAATTAAGCACTCAGCTAATCACTGAGAAGCCAGTAGTTCAAGTCCATTCTCAGAAGAGAGCGAGCCTGTGATCTGCCCCCATAAAGGCAAAAAACCCCACGGCTGCTGACCTAGTTCCAAGCCATGGCAACATGCCATTAGGTTGGTGGGGAGTTAAGTCTTTACAGGAGGCGGCAGCCTGCTCTTTCTCCCATGAAGCAGCTGGTGGATTCAGGCAAACATGTAATGCACTACCACTATCACCAGCACCACTGACTCCTTCATACTCTGAGAGAGCACAGCCGAGGAAACACCAGGGGGCAGTTTTGCTCATTGTATGGAGTCATGACGAGCTGGGAGTCTACTCACGAGCATACGTGTGCACATATACACAAGTATTTAAATGATAAATACATACAGTGTGATGGAGCATTACTAGCACCCCAAATCCTGCCTTTGTGTCACACGTGCCTGACTTCTATCATTATAGGCTGGACTGCTTTGCTGTTGTTGTGTGCGGCTGACTGGGACCGACAAAGAGCTGATCCTCTAGTGATTATCAGAGGCTGTAAATCACATGAGAAGAGACTGCCCATCTTCCTTCCAAGGAGCTGCTGGTGGATTTGATCCACTTGCCTCTGGAATGATAATGCTACTCCTTACCCATTAAGATCATCAGAACTTCCTCTGGCAGCTTAGAACTTTATATTAATTTTAAGTGTAATTATACAACATATTATTTTAAGAAGAAATTCACTTTTAGCAAGAAAGGTCTGTAAAAAATTTTTGAAGGGGAATATAATGGGAAAGGCAAAATTTGCCATGTTAAAGTTCAATGGTTATTTTGTTGAAAAGCCCTTTATAGTTCTTGAGTAATTCTCCAAAGGGTCATACAAAGAGACACAAAGTCACATTCTGTGACCACACATACCCAAATCTTATCATTCCAGTAACCCCAGTTTACCTTCTGCAGAATCTCTCATATTTGCAGGGGGAGGATCTGGCTCACTTGTCTTCAGCTTTATGTCTTCAGTTTTGTTTCCTTTGCTTTTATTTTCCTGGGACTTTTTCTTCCCTGAAACACAATATTTATTTACTCACTCACTTATTCTGCCATTCACTATTATCATGAATTCTTGAAGGAGATAATAACCACAGCAAACCATATATTTCTATGCAACTATTACTTCAAACCTACAGCTTTAAACTTCAGCCACACATAATGACAAGATCTAGAGAAGTTAGTAATATTGATGCCAAAGAAAGCCAATAGCACTGAATTCCATTCTACACAAGCCTGGTTATTAGCAAGGAATATGTCTGAGAAAAACAACACTATATTAGCTGAGTGCCTTTCAGTTATCCCTAGTTGTCAAAGTAAAACAACAGATGTGGATTCCACCGAAATGCAAGAGACATTCACACACAATGGCTCCACTATCAAATGCAGGGTAATTATGAATAATTCACGGTCAGCCTGCACTGCACTCCAAGGACCCTGTGGGACTCTGCTCCAGGTCCAGTACAATTCAATATTTCATTAACAATTCGGAAGATGCAATTCAAGAAACACTAACTGCATTCCAAGTGATGCCATACTTTAGAAATAAGATTAAAATGCAATGTGTATTTCTGAAAAACTGGATCAACGAACTAAAATTACCTGAAACTCAACAAAGCCAAACCATTCTCTATAGCGATATAAATATTTGTGCTTCAGCAGCCTCAGTTCCTTCGGTACTTAATGACTGTTTAAATTCTAAATATCTTCCCACCCCCACTCCCAAGCCTGGGTTTTTCAGTCTTCAAATTCATAATGGGTTCCTATTCATCTTCCTCTAACATATCCTTCCCTTTCTGCAATGCTGTCCCCAAGATGACCTCCAAGAGCTCCCACAGCTGCCCTTGGCCTTCCAGAACAAGCCTTCTGACACCTTACTTCTGAATTAATAAAATGGCAAACTAGAAACCACTCATAGCTTGGAGAGGATCACATGGAAAATGACATTCCCCTTAACAAAAATACCAGGGAAGAACACAGTTAACACAGAAGAGAGAAAACAGATGAGAATGAGATCAGAGATACAAGACATTACTGAGAAGATGATGTTAAAAGTAGAAACATCAAGTCCAATTCAAAGCAAGTTAAGAATCCTAAATTTAACAAGGGAATAGGGGAAGGTGGGAAAATACAATAGTCATTCAGTTTAAACAGCAAACTAATTTATATATATATATATATATATATATATACACACACACACACATACATACATATATATATAAATAAAATTTCAAAACACTAATTCTTCAGCCTGTAAGGAAACAAAAAGGTTTTGTTTTGTTTTTAGAATCCTCTATATAAAGATTCACTCAAATTCATAATATTTATCAAGATCAAAGGCATTTAAAAGGTAGAACTCAAGAATCCATGATTTTTTCACTGGAAACTACAGTGTGATGAGAACAGAAGTCTAGTGTCTAATGGCAGGTTCCTGTTGCCAGGTAGAATATTAACACAAAGAACATTAACACAAAAACACCTTTTCACACTGTAAGAACGAAGACTTGCTATGCTTAACAATAAAACAAAAAAAAAACAAAAAACTACAGTCTTCAGAATGGATGACACTTCAACAAAAAGTAAAAATTTTCACAACTGGACCCACAAGCAATACCAATGATAAACAGAGAAAGACTAAACTGTGCAGTTAATTCTTGAAATCACAATCAACAACCATGGGAGCAGCAGTTTAAAAAAAAAAAACAACCAAAAAAAAAAAAAAAGCAACTTATTGCCCCAGGGAAATATGCACAGAAAGATGTATTTATATAATATAAAAATATTGTAAATAGATGTCACTTAGAGGGTCAAAGTGCACCTGACACACATAGTATTTTCATCGGCTTCATATGCCTGTGAAATCTGGACAGTGAATAAGGAAGACAGAAGAACTGACGCCTCTGAATTATGGTGTTGATGAAGAATACGGAATATGTCACTGACTGCCAGAAGAACAAGCAAATCTTAGTAGTACAGTCAGACTGCTCTCCGAAGTGAGAATGCTGACATGCCATCTCATACACTTTGAACATCACCTGGAGAAGGATGTCATGACTGATAACAGTAATCAGTCAGCAAAAAGAAGACCCTCAACAAAACAGATTGATTCCAACAGTGGGCTCCAACCCCACTGTGAGGACACTACAAGACCAGGCAATGTGCTATTCTGCTGGAGATGGGGGTCACCTGAGTTGCAAGTAACTGGACAGCACCTCACAGCAGCAAACATCTGTTAAAATTCCTTCTCTTTTTGTCAACATAACAGCAGAAATAAGGAAATTTTGATTCTACTTCCTTCCAGGCAGTTTTTTATTCTCAAGGTAACTTTCATCCTTCCCTACATGTACGATGCTTAGCCCCAGACTGCTGATAACAAAAATTCCTTATCACCCATACACTTAAGACAAATATAAATGATCAGTTTGCTACGTAACTAATATTGCAGCTAATGTTCAAGGAGAGTTATGAGTTCTTTATTACTGTTAAAAAGGTTTTAAGTTCAAGTTACACTCAAATAACCTTTTCCCTGTGTTACACAAACAAAATTTTTATAAGAAACTAGTACCTTCCCTTATTGTTGCATACCATCAAGTCGGAACTGACCCACAGCTGACTTTGGCAGGTTTTCAGATACAGTTAATACACAGGAGGAGACTGCCCATCCTTCTCCTGCTACCTTCTCTTATTGTTATGTGCCATCGCAACAACAACAACAACAAAAGATTAAAAAACTCCACAATGAGGGATTTATCTTTCACTGCTCTATAAATTGTTTGTCTGTCAGATACTCCTCTAAATCTGAACATTCAGATTAAGACAGACTAGGAAGAAGGATTGGCCATCCACTTCTGAAATAGCAGACCTCTGAAAACCCTATGCACAACAGAACACAGGCAGACTAACAGAAAGCGCAACCTGGGTAGAACTATCAA